ACGATTTAAAAAGTGTCTGTATTGTATTTCTAATTTGTTTTGACTGAAATTCGAAGAAAAATGGATTTTTCGCCAGTCTTCAAATTACTGTATCTCTTTAATTATGAGTTGGATACAGTTAGTATATTAATATTTTTTGTTCCAAATCACCTCAGGAATGCCCTCACTAAGTGGGGGTAAAACTCCGTGAATCACCCTGTATATATATATAAACTCCGTGAATCACCTGTATGTATATATATATATACAGGGTGGACCAGACTCCAATGGGAAAGTACCTTCTGCTGTCGACAGATGGCAGCATCATACGGTATGCTGTGAACGAGGTCAATATTCTGCCTACTTAGTGCGCATCGAGGAAACGTCATGGCCGGTAGACGGTTGTCTATCGAGCAGCGTGTAAAATGTGTGCGCCTTTTCTCAGTTACTAACAATGTATCAGAAGTCCAGCGCATTATGATGGAAGAGTCTGGACCGCCAGCAGTCCACAGAGACACAATCGTCCGAATAAACAAGCAGTTTGATGAAACTGCCAGTGCTTTGAATCCCAAGCATCCTGGTCAGCCGAGAACTGTCCGAACTGCTGACACACAAGCACATGTTGCTGCGGAACTGGCATCATATCCTAAGAAATCGAAGTCTACCCGCCGTTTGTCGGCCCTACTGGACATTTCGAGGACAAGTTTGCGGAGAGTTTTGAGTGACATGAAGCTGACGCCATACCATCTACGGCTTATTCATGTTCTTAACGAGGACGACTTCGACAGACGACTTGAGTTCGCCGAGTTGATGCTGACCAAGTTTCAGGAGAACCCTGACCTTATCCGGAATATTGTCTGGACTGATGAGGCCAAATTTCACACATCGGGATCGGTCAACAGGCACAAATGCGTGTTTTGGCGGCCAGAGAACCCCAGTGCCCCCATTGAATACGATTTCCAGTCCCCGGGAGTGATGGTGTGGGGCGGCGTGACGTACGAAGGACTGATTGGCCCGTTCTTCCTTGAGGGTTGCGTCACGGGGGAACCTACCTAAAGTTGCTGAGGGAAAGAGTCATCCCAGAACTTCAGAGGAGAGAGAAATTTGATGAACTGTGGTGGCAGCAAGATGGGGCCCCACCACACTTCGCAAATATTGTTCGGGCGTTCTTGCATCAAGGTTTCCCTCAACGCTGGATTGGCCGTCGAGGGCCTGTGGAGTGGCCAGCCCGATCACCCGACATCACCCCACCAGACTTTTTCCTTTGGTGTTACCTCAAAGACAACGTGTACGCTAATCCCATTGACAGTGTGAATCATCTGCGTGAGGTGATTGTTCAGGAGTTCAATAAAGTTCCGGTGAATATGTGTACAAAGGCGTGTGAAAATGTTGCTTTGCGTCTGCAAGCCTGTGTTGACTTAGGTGGTGCCCAGGTTGACCAGCATCTTGAAAATCGATTACTTATGTGTGCGCAATTCCAGTTTTGTAACCATTGAAATTGTTAACATTTATCAATAAAAATAACATCTAACCAAAAACTGCCTAATTGAGTCTGGCCCACCCTGTATATATATAGGTTCAACTCATGATATGAAGGGACCTCTAGTGCTAGAATGAGATACAGAGACTGGTGGGGTGATGTTACTAGCCACAACAAAACAAAGAAATGAAAGAGAAATTTTGAAACATTTACTGACCTGATAAGAGGATAAATATTACAACTGAACTAATTGCATTCAAATATGAAACATGTACAAGTACAACAACCCACCACCTAAGGACTTACATTCCTGAAAAGCTCACACATGGAATGACCCAGGACATATTAGTAATTAGTAGCTGGGTGAAATGAGATCACTGTTATTACACATCAGATACTGGTTACAAGATATGGGCTAAAATGGTAATCTGAATGCTAAAAAACAAATTTTGGATGCAATCAGAGCCCTGTCCTTCACAAATGTGGATCTCTTGGTGTGAAAGCCACTGATTTTTTTTGTTTGTATACAAATTTAATAAACCACAGATACATAAAACTAAATGCAGCAAACTCAACACAAAGAGAAAACAGTAATCCAGGTTTTGGATTTGATGGTCGAATTTACTGGACCTTTATACAACTTGTTACAACATTTCGCATATCACTATATTCGACTAGACACTCTCGACTTCTAACCACACTATACTAATCCACTACTTCTGGAGCCAGAGTCGCTCACTGTTATATAGCCTTGCGTCTAACCTCACGGAAAACGTCCACTGCCAAGCAATGGACGTCTACTATTGTCGGGTACTGTTGGAGGCATTACTTAGAAATGGGCTGTTTACCAAGTATCTGACTCCACAGGAAAGTGTTTATCGAGCCGTTGACTAGCAATGGATCTATACGTCACAATAAACTCAGAATGGAAGACAGAACTTCCAGTAATGTTCTGTATTTTCAGACCAACACCAAAAAGCCCTTTCTCTTTCTATAAACAATTTTTCCCCCTTTGCCAATTACAAATTTAGTTTGAATAGGGGGTAAAATACTTAACACATATATCAATGTTACATGAATTACATTTTCCATTCTCAGTCATCAGCATAATAGTGAGTCCATCAGGCCTCTGATAAACAATGAAATAAACTGAGAATATTCCACCCTACACTCACTCACTCATGGAGCCAAGCCTTTAAAACACTGCCAATGTGCAACTACTCAAGAACTTCCCAGCATTTTATGAAACCCGAAGGTTCATTACAGTATTCACAAGAGCCATGTGTCCCATTTAATTTCAGTCCCACCTGGTCTTCCTGGACCTTCATAAAAACATGTTCTTAAGCAAAGTTGACAAGAAGTGGAGACAGGGCATCCCCTTGCTTTACACAGTCTGGAGAGGAAAATTATCAGATAAATGTTTACCTATACGGACTTTACTGTGTTTCGTTTACACATATTTTAATCAACCTGACTAGTTTCATGGGTACAACAAACTCTTATCAGAATATTGTACAATACTTTCCTCCTAACTGAATCACAGGCTTTCTTATAGTCTATGAATAGGTGATGTACTGTCTCATTGTACTCCCATTTTTTCTCCAGGATCTGACAAATGCAAAAGATGTGACCAGTAGTTGATCTGTTACCTTGAAAGCCACATTGACAATCCTCAATAATTTCATCTATACAGGACTTAACCTTGAAAGAATATTGGATAAAATTTTATATGAAGTTGATAGCAGTGATATCCCCAAATAATTACTACAGTCAGTTTTGTCACCCTTCTTGTGAACTGGTACAATAAGATTCCTTCCACTGATCACGCGATTTTTCTTTATGCCAAAGAGATGTAATTAACTGATGGATCTCAGAATGTAATATTTCGCCTCTTGCTTGAACAAGTTCTAGCAGAATTTTATTACTACCTGATGATTTATACCTTTTCAATTTTGCAATAGAAATTTCAACCTCAAAAGGGATGGGATCAGGTACGTCTCCCCTACCTACTTTGGGACTGAAATCTCCTAACAAAATTGTCATATGATATTTAGGGAATTTATCAAATATGTTCTAGTTCTTTGTAGAACCTGTCTTTCATATCATCAATTTTATCCTCTGTTGGGGCATGAACATTCGAAACAATGATACCACACCAGCAGCCTGTCACTAATGAACTCAACCCTCTTATCTACTGATGATTCTGGAACCTCTTATAATACTTCGGCACTGACCCCACAGAAAACACGTGCCACATGTCAGACTGCGAGTTCATTGATCCGTTACCAGCACTGGACATGGCACGGACAATATAGAATACACAGCCTCATCTATTGCTGTGTGTTGGGCCATGTTTACGGAGCTGTTACCTAGCAATGGTTTGAGAAAATCCGTTACAAAATATTGTCACATGTAGGGTGGTACATGTGACAAAAATAACGGGTTTTAGTTTGGACGACTGGATTTATTAGCGCTTCGATTACACTCTTAATTATGATTAATACAGTGCTATCGCTGATTTACACTCTTTGCAGTCCACCACTGCACATGCACTGGGATTCTCAATTTCCACTAGTCATCTCTTAGCAAGGGATCTCACACAAGAAATTAGAACTTCATATAACTATGAAGTCTTCTTGCTATTTCGTCTTCAAACACTCTGGAACCTCCGAACTAAAAATTCTTCTCAATTCACTCTTCCAGCTTATGACTGACTCATAACTGCCCTTGAACGAATTCTGTAACCGACTCCTCTTATATGCACTCTATTCAGACCCCATGGAAAACACCGTCTCTATTGTTGATGATGTCACCGCATTTATAGCATGATCTGATATGCGGAAATGTTATTCTACTGTTGCTTGGTGCAGACTGCATAGAAAACACAGCCTCATCTATTGTTGCATAACCTAGACACAGATTGTTTATCAAGAATCTGTCTTCGCAGGAACTTTACCAACACGTTGCCTATCAATGGGTGTAGATGTAACGATATTTATATTTTGGGTACAATTGGTATTTGCAGTGTTATCTTGGCTCAATGCTCCCACAACTGCACTACATTCAACCAAGATGAATGTCCTATTTTTTAAAAATCTGCAATGTCATACTGGTGTTTAAATCTTCATGTAAAGTTACCATTTCATTCATACAACATCCAGCAAGATGTGAATGCTTGTGAATACCAAGCATTAAGAAAACTGCAGAAATATTCTAATGACAGAGAATGTCACACACAAACAGAAGGTATTCCAAAAAAAACACTACTGCAAAGCATTGGGTATCTTATAAACATACATCTCCAATAGAATCTAAATCTAAATTACAGAAACCTTTTCTAAACTGCATACCTAGGAAAGTAGACATAAAAATGGTGGTAAATGCTTGGAAGTAATGATGGAAATATGCTACGCAAAGGAAACAGAGAAATCATTTCTCAACAGTGATACCATGTTAACTACATACAACATGCAGCATGAATTATTAATACCATTCAAGCTCATTTGCATTCAGTTCTAATAAATGCACTGACTGTACTCACTTTGATGTTTGTCAGCCAACATAATAAGTGTGTTGGGTAAGTCCCGTCGCCTGAAGAAACACATGACTTTGGCTTCCACATTGCCATTTGGTGTCTGAAAGTATAGATTTGTTCACTACTATTATTAAAACTCATGATTCAAAGAATAATCTGTCCAGACTGTTATGATGGCATGGATCCATTAATGTCACAGGTATATGTAACATACCTATTCTTTAAAAACAATTATGCACAAACCATCCACTACAGATTAATTTTACTCACAGCTTAACTCAAAAACTTCATTATTACAGCACAAAAGTGCTCAAGCAGTACTGCTTCAGACTTGTACTTTGAAGGCACTGTTTCAATTTCAACCAAGACACCGACTATACTGCCTTGGTGTTTACTGTGACATACTGTCCCTTCAGGCAATAAATAAATACCACCCTCAAATATTCATTTGCCATTCCTGATTCAGAAAACATGATAGGACCACTACAAAAAATTAACAGACTGACAGATAATATTAAAATGGATCAGAGAAAGAGGACTGGGTGTGGAGGGAATTCATCTGGCTCAGTGTAGGGACCAGTGGTGAGCTCTTTGTGAATATGACAATGAACAAGAGTTCCATAAAATGCTGGGAACTTCGTACGTGGATGAACAGCTGTTGGATTCCCATGGATTCGGTTCCATGCAGCTGCTAATCTGAAGTTGGTTCTTGCTTCAGTATCAAACATTCTGTCCATGATGTGTCCTTGCCCAAGTACTATATTTATTTGCTGCCATACTGTATGTAATTTATGCATAGTTCAAACTGTCACTTAGAAAACAGTTTCCATGGGTGAAATTATGGTTTTGTTCCAACCATTATTTTTTAACATACATAAGCAATAAAACGTTCTGATAAAAAACAATAATTATCGAAATTTTACTATACACTCAATTTCCTCACTGTTGTGTGTTCATCCTAGTTACTATGTATAACTCAGACAGTTCTGTATAAAAAGGGGTTCTGAGTAATACTCATAAAGCCCTCTTTCATACTGCTTGGATTTTTAGTCCTAGAGCTTTACTGCTATTATATTGGTGCCACCACTATTTGAGATGAACTTATTGCTCACATAGGGTTTCCATTTAGATTACATTAACCTCACAAGTTCACACTGTTGCCATGCACTGACTTCCAAACAATATTTCAACAGATGATGTGTACGTATGTCTGTAATCTACCTCTGTACCAAATTTTGCATTCCTAGCACCAATGGATCATTGCTTATTGTCAACAAACCGAAACCTATAGTATTTTCTTCCACAGCCACAATGTCACTTTACTTTCCACATAAGGTTCCAATTTGTTAAAAGATTTGATCATCACAGATCACTTCAGAGCCCCAAATTAGCCTGGGGCCACACAAGCGCACGAAGTATGTCCGTTGCAACAAATGTACTTTATGACAGACGTTGCTGAGGAAACCACACAGTTGCAGAATGTGGTGCATAGTTTGTCTGCAATGGAGCCAGAAGAAAGAGTAGCATTCGCCTCTCGTTTATTTCTACAACGGACGTCATGACGTTCGTTACAACGGGCACATTTTGTGCGTTCATCTGGCCCCAGCCATATGTGACAGCAGTGTCATTTCTAACTCATACATCATCATTACTAACTCAGAAATTAGAAAGTACAATGTTACGGTAGCATCCGATGGTGTAAAAATTCTGTGCAGTTTCAAGAGTTGAAAGAGACTATAAGAAATACAAGCAGAATACGCACTGTGACATAATGGCTCAAAGACGAAATAGCGGAACAAGAAGCTGTCACTGCTAGACAACGGCACTGAACACACGTTTCAGCAGAAACGAATCTGCATGCAACAACAAAAGAACTCCTGAAAGTGATGTTTTCTGCGTGGTCCGCACCAAGCCTATATACCAAGGGCCAATGGAAAAAGTTGATCAGTCAGAAGTTTGGGTCAGCAATTGGTAGTCATGAGTTGCAAATGAGCAGTGGCAGTTCATGGTTGGCCATGAGGAATCTCCACTGTTAAGAGCTGCTACCTAGCAACGACTAGTGACAAAATAAACAGAAGACTGTGTAAGCTGTAGTTGCAGTGATTTAGTGTGTGTAAATTTGTGATACTGTTACAATCATGTGTAGTTAGGAGTTATAAGCGTCCACTGGATCCAATTATCAATACAAACCCCATGTCTAGTCACTAACATGTAAACTGGTGTCTGAAGTCAGACTGGTTGGGTTGGACTGAAACTCACATGACAGATGAGGAGCTGGGAAAGTGTGGTAGCTGTCACAGAAAGGCTGAAAACGAAGACAAGTGCCATTCAAGAAACGATGGGCCCATTCAAGAAAATATGGGGGCTATTCAGGAAAGGACGGAAGCCAATCAAGAGGTAATGTAAGCCAGCTGGGGAAAGATGAAGGCCTATCAAGACTGGATGGAAGCCTAGACAGAGACCAACAACACAGAGCAGAGGACTCAGAACATCTAGTAGCCATCTGGAAAAGGATGGGAAGATTGGAGCCAAGATGGTCACCGTCATGAATGCCATCCAAGAGAGAACGGAGGCTACGATAAAGACCAGTCATTAAGATATGAGAACTGATATTACGGCTAGTCAAGAAGAAATTAAAGCTGGCCATGAAAAGATGGGAGCTTATCAAGGGAAGATGGAGGTCCCGATAAAGTGCGGCCAAGAAGAAATGAAGGCCACAAGGGCCAGAAAAAAAAAAAGGGTGGGGGAGCACTATAAGATCCATTCGGTCCGAACTGGAAGAGGCTACGATAAAGACCAGTCATTAAGATATGAGAACTGATATTACGGCTAGTCAAGAAGAAATTAAAGCTGGCCATGAAAAGATGGGAGCTTATCAAGGGAAGATGGAGGTCCCGATAAAGTGCGGCCAAGAAGAAATGAAGGCCACAAGGGCCAGAAAAAAAAAAGGGTGGGGGAGCACTATAAGATCCATTCAGTCCGAACTGGAAGACCATTAAAAATCGGGTGAAGGACATCCAGTCGTCTGTCAACACCCAACACAGGATCACCGCAAGACACTTAACCCGAAGAGTGAAGAAACGCAGCTTGGTTTACAAGCCATCGACACATGGACCAAGAGCCTCCGCGATGAGATAGCAGGCACAAAGAGGAGACTTCACGAAGAGCTTGACCTCAGGAGACATGAACCGCACAACGCGAATTCAAAACGCAGTAAGCAGAAGTCGAAGCCTCTATGCCGATCTTGCGGGAAAACAGGAACCGAGGTAGGCGTGGCGCAGCTACTGAAGTTCGACGGATGGACAACATGGGCCGTGTTACGATGGCAGTTCGAGGCAGCGGCGGAGTGCAACTACCACATGCTCCACAAGAGCCACACATCTAATCACCAACTTGAATGAGCCAGCTGCCCACATTCTGCATGGCGTCCCTACCGGAGCGACATATGAGGAGGTTACTTGGGTGCTTGAGAATAGCTACGGTGAGTACCATCTGGCAGGAGCGTTCCAGCTCGTCAGAGAATACCTGCAACAGTTTACCACCACCACTGACCATCTGGCCCACCGCGCCCACGATGAAGTGCCTGAACACCTAATAACTAAAAAAAAGTGGCTTGTTCATTCGCCAACGGGATAAGGGAACGACACAGAAAAAGACACTCCTGGAGGGCAAGAAGATACTCAGCGAGGCACTCAATCAGGCCCCCGAGCTAAAGACAGTAACACAGCAGCCGGGAAGTCCTCCAGAATCCCAAAAACGATGGCCAGGATATTCTGGAGGAGCCACTCACCCCCAACAGAACAAAGAGACTACGGAAAGCTTATGTGCTGGTACTGTGGGAGCAACCGCCACTTTCTAAAGCACTGCCCCCAAAAATCAGATAAAGAAGACGATGACCGAGGCTGAACACGTGAGGATCGACGCTCGACAAACGGGCAATAACCGACGAGAAGAGACGATGGACAAAAAGCAGGACAGCAGCAGCCCGTGTATTTAGGGTCAGAGCACCAAGGGGACCTATTTACCGAGGACCGAGTGTAGCAGGACGGAACAAGCCGTCCGCTGGCAGAGTGGGAGCGTCGGCCATCTTGGGAGGGACTGCCTACAGAGATTTCCTCATAAGAAAATCGACCTAAACTGGAGAGACAAACAAAAGAAACGGAGAAGGCGAGAGTTTCACCACTAATGCCTCCTCGTTACGTTCTTAGTGTGCCGGAAAAGCATGGTGATGACAGTCTACGCGCCGAAGGACAGATAGGAGACAAAGCATAGCTTTCGACCTTCGACACCGGAACGTCCATAACCATAGCCCAGCCGTACATCACCGGTGGACTGCCCAAGAGCGAGCTGCCTACCTGGTGGACCCTGTAGACGGCATCAGGAGAGCTGAAGGAAGCTTTCGTAAAACTAACTCTAGGGCAGCGCCCACTAACAACTTGGGTATTCGCCGCCCATATCACAGATGAGTTCATCCTAGGATTCAATGTCATGCATGGCGACGATGCATCAGTGGATTTGACCCACAACCTGCTGAGAGTGGGTGAAGAGGAAATTCCACTGCGGGACCCCGGGGTGCGATTGCGACCAACCCCTTGCATGAAGGGTAACAGGGAAGTAGCAGCGGCTCGATGTAACAGTTGGGGCGGTGCAGTTGAAAGGACCACTGCAGACGGTGGATAGCTCCACAGGGACGGGATCCAGGGCCGCCCATGAAGATGATTTACACAGGGAGAGAGTGCCAGTCAAATCCCCAATGGAGGTGGTGCCTGTAAGGACGAGTCGAGACCGCCAGTCACAGAAGCACTTCGTGGGAGGTGTGCCCAAAAAATGACCATGGTGCTCGATACGAGCAGCCCTAAGGAGGATGCAGTTGGGGAAAAACAAGGCCTAACTTACGAACAATGAAGGCTGTAAGCCGTCAAGACCGGGAGCAGACGCGTCGGGAAAGCACGACGTGGAGATGCCGTTCACGAAGGCGATCACAGTCAGGCACTTCCCTTCAAGAAACGATACGCCGGTATGCTACTCAGGACAAGCAGCCTTATGGAGGTGTAATGTGAAAAGGCGGCTGGAAACCGAATAATGGTGATCATTGCTAGG